CTGCTGCTTGCGGAAATCTCTTTACGAATTGCGACAGGCCTCTCGCAATTGGTACCACAAGTTCACGAAATCGCTTACGGATATCGGATTCCAGCAATCTCACGCAGATTCGTCCCTCTTCACATACAAAGAAGGAATGATATATGTAGTGGCTCTCATATACGTCGATGATGTCATCATGGTGAGAAATAATGATGCAAAGATCCATGACGTAAAGAGACACCTTGACAATCGTTTTAGCATCAAAGACTTGGGGCCTTTGAAGTATTTCTTAGGAATCGAGGTGGATCGTACTAATGAGGGAATAGTGTTGAGCCAACGGAAATACACGTTAGATATTTTGAAAGACAGTGGTCAGCAAGGTTGTCGACCCAGCCCCTCCCCAATGGAGCAAAATCTCCATCTTGACGAAGCCATCGATAGTCCACCAGTTGATGCTGCACAATATCGACGACTGATTGGGAGACTGTTGTATTTGCATGTAACGCGTCCGGACATTGTTTTTGCGGTCAATATGCTCAGTCAATTCTTGGCAAATCCATGTCAAAGACATATGGATTCTGCCATTAGAGTGTTATGCTACTTGAAATCGACCCCTGGCCAAGGAATTATCCTACCTAAAGACGGTGATCTGAGCCTTAAGGCTTTCTGTGATGCTGACTGGTTGGGTTGCTCCTTCACGCGACGTTCCCGCATCGGTTATTTGATTTTCTTAGGAGGAGCTCCGGTATCTTGGCGAACAAAGAAGTAGTCAGTTGTCTCTAGATCGTCGGTCGAAGCTGAATATCAAGCCATGGCTAATACTATGAGTGAGATCCTATGGTTGTGTTGGCTTTTACACGACCWTGAGGCTGCCCCTGTCGGACCCACACCACTATACTGTGACAACAATGCAGCCCGACAAATCGCAAATAACCTAGTTTTTCACGAATGCACCAAACACGTAGAAATGGATTGTTACTTCATACGTGAAAGAGTCGAGTCTAACGAGATAGAACCCTTATACATAGACACAAAGCATCAGGTGGCAGACATCTTCACCAAAGCTCTTGGAGCTGAACGCTTCCGCTTTCTTTTGGCAAGATGGGCGTTCGTGATCTTCACACTCCATCTTGAGGGGGAGTATTGGAAACCAAATCCATTCCATACTTATCCCCTTCTTTCTCTCTTTTATTTTTGGTTAGTTCGTTGTATTTGTGTATATATATTTGCCTCTCTTGTACTTTTCAATACACAGAAAATAAGAGATCCCAAATATTTTCATTTATACCATGAAACGCTATCCACTAATGATAAAAGGAGAAGTAAACTGCTTAAACATACACTATTTTATATTTGCATGATACCAAGTGGTAACCAAGATCATGGATGGGGTGGTGTTGCCTCCTCTTTAACACCACAATATCTAAAAAAGACAAGAACTCATGTTTGAGAAGAGATCTATTCTAGATGATTCTCCTTCCAATAACAACCTGCCACAAATGTACTCCTTTCTAAAATGAAGAAGCAAGATTTGTTTATAATAAAAGAAGAATGACAAACACGCAAGGATGTTACTAGTAACATAGTTTGCAGCTTTAAGGACTAGCTGACTTCACTCAATTATCAATATAAGACATAGTAGATGTGTGTCATTCCTCTTAAACATAAGCACACGATTTGTTTATAACACATAGTTCATGATATTGGTCCATATAAAACAAGGTTTAAAGTTCATCTTTTCCTTTTAAACTGAGGCAAGAGAATTGTTCATAATATTACAGACCAAAAACATACAGTAGCCTAGGATACTACCAATTTACACCGAAAAAAGGTTGATTTATTCTTAGAAAACATAAACTACCTGCATGCATGTCATTTATGACGTTGACTATATGTCGCCACCACTGTCCATCACTATCATTTTCTGTTGCTCCCACCACAACTTTATGCATTTTGATAAAATAAGTTTAGGAAATGATTTTATATTGATTACTTCACAGTTTTGGAACAAAGTATTATAAATGATCTTAACTTGGTTTTGGTAATAAAATGGGAATTTTGCCAATTTGGTGACTATCTTTACATGATTGTTTTATTTGTTGCGCATGGTTTGACAAATCTAGAAGATTGTACACTATAAACTAGAATGCAATGGATCCATGGGCGTAGAAATCGGATTAATTTGATGCATATGAGATAATATTCCCTATGTGTAACTTGAAATAGGCAGTGGGTCTACATAGACAATAGGGTGTGGACTCTTGGAGTCGGGCATCGTCCATTGACCAATATAATGTAATTTCTAAGTGAACGAGTTTAACTTGGATTTTGGAGATCTCAAGGTATAAACTTAGTATGGTTGAACTTGATGGCTCTACAAGCAAAAGACTTGGAGTACTGAGCTTGCTAACTCATTAAACTATAGACCTGAAGTTGATTTTAACGATTGTTAATACGTAATTGATGCATATATAATATTGAAATGTAACTTACTTTTGTGTTAAGTAACTGTCAATGGTAAAATGGGTTTCCCCTGTCATTGTGAGATATTTATACCTTCCAAGGGTGAACTCTATTTTAATGGTTGAATTGACTTGATTAAAGTTATGTTTTCAGTTTCAATGTTTTTATAGCTTCATTGTATAACAGTTTTAGCTTACTAGGCGTTAAGCCTAACATTTTTTCTTAAAGGACATGTATATCAGGATCTCCTATCGGTAGGGATCCTAATCCTAATGCTTAAGTGGAGCGTTAATTGCCGGTGGAGGCATTTTTGGGTTATCATCCTTTGGAGAACATTCGTGGAGTTACTTTTGATAGTATTCTTTTGGAGATAGTGTCGACACTCGGTTGTAATCTAAGTCTAGAAATTGATTTAGATTAATAAGTTGTTACTTATATGGAAAAAAACCAAACAACTTCTAGTCATTTATATGGCAAAAAAAACCCAAAAAACCAAAACAAGCAGACTTAAACACAACACTCTGATCCAAAGCACAAACCCCGCCTCAAATTAGACATGGTTATTCTTGATTTTCTTTTCTCAGCTCTCTAACCTTTTGTGTCTTTTGGTTTCCAAAAGCCCAAGATTCATACATTCTTTTGATCATCTTATGTTTATGTTGGTCCCGTTAGGGTCTACAAGATATGTATAAACAATTTGTAGAAGAGGGGGGGGGGGTTGAATACAAACACAGTAAACTTTTCAAATTTAAAATATATATTGATAAAGAAGGATCAATACAGATTTTACAAGATTGTTTGTGGAAAAGATAAGGTAAAGATAACCTATCTAAACAATCTAAGTTACACACAAGTTCTTAKCAAAGAGAAATGATTTGTTGTTTAAGACTAAGAAAAAAGTAAGTTCTTTCTAGGTAAGAACTATTTAGAATACTTACAAAGGGATTCTAACTTGCTTTTGAAGATAAAAGTATTGTGTTCTTAGATATGTGTTCTTTTACGTATGAACATAAGAGTTAGGGTTCAAGAGTAAGAGTATCTCTGCATGGAGATAGAACATATCTATTTATACCCATTGCATTAAATGCACATTTAATGCAATAAAGTAGGGTTTGAACAAACGTCAAGCCTTTAGAGAAAGACTTGTCCTTTGCTATAGTGAATTATACAAAAGCCTATTCATGAGCAGACATCATTTCATGAAGTTGGTGGGTAGTAGAGTCAACTAATCAGCTCTGTACCGTACTATACTCTAGAAAGGGTATGGGTTTGTCCTTTGTGTGTGGAAGGACAAGACAAAAACAATCTTGCTCAATAAGCTTCTTTTGATCGCTGAATACGTGAATAACCCTAAAGGTCTCTTCAACATTCGTTGAGGCTTCAGCAGTCTTCACACATATGTAGACCAGGTTGTAATCATTGAATGCCACTTTAGATCACGAACTCGTCAGTCTCTAATCTTTAGTTTCAGTCTTCAACTTTCGCTGAAGGTTCTTTGGTGTGAGTTTTGTCTTCGTGAAACATCATTGTTGCTGATGGACTTACATTACATGTTCTCAGCGATCACCGAACAGACTCAGTGATGATCGCTGGAACTGAAAGACAAAAACAATAAAACTTTGTATAAAGAAGGTTCCCTTATCAAATAACAGTAAGAAAAAGTTATATATAAGTACATTTCCCTTTTAACTATTTTGGGATCTTTTTTAGTGAGTCAACCTTTACTTAGTAAATTTTCTTAAGTTACAAGTTTAAGAAAAAATAAAAGAAGGAAAACTGAAACTGAAAGCATATTAACTGACTTATAGATTGTCAGTGAATATAAGAGTAACACTGGAACTCATAGACTTGTGTCCCTATTACTCTTGTCAAGGATCTTTTTCAGTGATGTACAAAAATACTTATATTAATTTCAAATGGAAATATTACAAGTCGTTCAGTACATGTCTAAAACTTACAAAATATAAGATTGAACACTGAAAATAGACTTAGAATATAGGTTATACAGTGAATGGAAAAATTACAAAGGAAATAAATTAATATAAGTCACTCAACTTAATGAAGCCAGGTACATTTTCTCCAAGCTCCTTTCGATGTAGAAACTCCCTTCTGATCTTGCGGTCCATCATTTCACCTTTGAAGTCTTCATCTAGCCAGAACCTGAGATATCTAAGGTGTTCCAGAGGGTATAGATGTAACTCAAACATTCTTTGAAATCTCACTTCGCCATCATAGTCAAGGAATATAAGTCCTAACTCAGGCTTCACTTGCACAATGTTGGGTATATAAGGACCCTTCGCTGGCAGTGAGAGATTCAACATAAATATATCTGGCTTCTTCGAAGCCCTTAGGACTTCATCTAAGGAGAACTTTGTTTCATGTTAGTTCCTCAGGGACGATCCATCATTAGGTCTTGAAGGCCTTTTTCTTCTTCCACCTTTCTTCAGCGTTGGCCTTTCAGGGACTACGACATACCTGGACACCTTCTTGATCAGCTCGCCGATTATGTCTTTGATAATTAGCTTATGTTTGGATTTTGAGTGCTGAATGGCTTATCAGATCTCCAGCCATTCATTGTAGCCATATTCACCAAGGTAGGAAGGGTACTCGGTGACTGCCTCGAGATTATCCATGTTGATGAGCATGGAGATCAGAAACCTGCTGTCTTTTGTTCGTGCACTGATGCTGACGCATGTAATAGGGTGAGGGTTGATCCTCTTGTTAAGGGAGACTTTGCTCCAGCGCTTGTCGCATTCGGCCAGCTTCAGGTTCTTTTCACGTTCAGCCTCTGCAATAGACAGAAGCTTAGCTTGGGCATGGACAACATTCATCGTCTTTTTAGATTTTTTCTTGGGAAGAACTTTTGCGGCTAGAGACTTGGCCAGCTTTAACCTATCCTTAGTCCGTTTCTTTTAGAGAGCAAGTTCTTCCTCATCTTTGAGGGCCTCGAGTCTTTCAGCTTCGATCAGGAAGTCGAACTCATCACAACTAGAGGTACGAAGAGGAATTTTTACTCTAATTTGGTCGAGTGACTCCCTGAGCTGAGTCATCTGCTGGTCGATAGTAGTGTTGGGGGTTGGGTTCTCAGGGACCCATTCCTCCAGCCGACCGCAGGTAGTCGATGGAATAGAAAGTTGGTACATGGAGGTGATGGTTATTTGACTTGAGGACTCATCATACAAGGGTTCAAGGGGTTTGAAAAGTACCTTGAGGTTTTCTTCTTCAATGACACCTTTGCCTTTCGACTTCGTGCCCCGGTGCATTTCTTGAGCAGCCTCATCTTCCCTTTGCTTCCCCTAGGATGTTGAATCTTTGAGAGCAACACCTTTAGTGGTAGCAAAAGGATGCTAGTACTGGATGGTGAAGTCGTCTTCATCGTCATCATTATCGTTGTCGTCATCCAGGTCGCTGCTGGAGTCAGGGAGGTCGGGAGATTCGCCTTCTCATCATCATCTTCTTCTTCCTCATTACCAACATTAGCTGCAGAGGTGATGGGAAGGTCATTGTCACGAGCTTCAACTTCAGCTCGGACAACATCAACTTCCTCAGTTGCAGGAGCTTCACAAGAGGTAGGGATTTCATTGACAACTTCAGCATAGCTTCAGCTTCATCAGTTGCTGGAGCGTATGTACAGGGGCGACATACTGGAACTCATAGACATGTGTCCTTATTACTCTTTTCAAGGATCTTTTTCAGTGATACTGATGGAATATGTATATTAATCAAAGGCGAATTACAAGTGTTACAGTCAGTACATTCTAGACTTATTACATATAAGTCGTACATTGAAAGAAAAGACATAGAAAAATAAGACTTATAATGAAAGATAAAATTTACAAGATAGAAAATTCTAGCTAATCTAAGTCTCTGAAGTCGATGTAACCAGGTACTTCTTCTCTGAGCATCTTTCAACGTAGAAAATCTTTTCTATCATTTCACCATAAAGATCATTGTCCAACCAATATCTTAGATGATCAAGATGTTCTATTGGACAAATACCAAACTCAGACACTCTCTGAAAGCTGTGTTTGCCTTCATAGTCAAGGAATATAAATCCAAACTTAGGCTTTATATGCACAGTGTTGGGTATGTAAGGACCCTTCGCTGGCAAAGAGAGGTTCAGCATAGATATGTCTGGATTCTTCGAATCCTTCAGGACTTCCTCCAGGGAGAACATTGTTTCATGTTCATTCCTCAGAGTTGGTCCATCATAAGGATCTGAAGGTTTTCTTCTTCCACCTTTCTTCAATGTAGGCTTTGTAGGTATAACAACGAATTTGGACATCTTATTGATCAGTTCGCTGAGGATGTCTTCAATTATTGGCTTGTGTCTTGACTTTGAGCGCTGAATGGCTTGGCGAATTTCCAGCCATTCACTGTAGCCGTATTATCCAAGGTAGGAAGGATACTCAGTAACAACTTCAAGGTTGTCTCTAGTGATGAGCATGGAGATGAGAAGTCCACCATCTTTCATTTGTCTATTCATTGTGACGTTTGAGATGTGGTGAGGACTTATTCTCTTATTAAGACGATATTCGCTCCATTTCCTATCTCGGTCGTTCAGCTTCTTTGCCTTTTCACGTTCAGCTTCAGCCATTGAAAGCAACTTAGCTTGGGCCTTGATAGCATTCATCATCTTTTTAGACGATTTCTTTGGAAGAACTTGAGTAGCAAGAGACTTAGCCAGCTTTAGCCTGTCCTCATTCTGTTGTAGTTGAATTCTGAGTTCTTCCTCAGCCTTGAGTATTTCGAGTCTTTCAGCTTCAGTAAGGAAGTCAAACTCACCACAACTAAAGGTACGAAGAGGAATTTTTACTCTAGTTTGGTCGAGTGACTCCTTAAGCTGAGTCATATGTTGGTCTCTAGGTACACTAGAAGTTGGGTTTTCAGGTACACATTCCTCTAGACGATTACTAGTAGTAGAAGGGATATAAGAAGAGAGTTGACATAAGGAAATGACTATTGCAAACCTAGAGGATTCAGTATCTTGAGGTACAACAAGTTTGACGAGAGCTTTGAGATTTCCTTTTACAAAAACACCTTTGTTTTTTTAGGAGGTGTTCTGGTTCTTTATGGAAGTCTCTTTCTCTTTTTCTTTCTCCTTCTTCCCCTGGGATGAAGAATTCCTGAGAGAGACTTCTTTAAAAGCACTGGCAGGGTTGTGGTACTGAATCGTGAAGTCGTCGTCAATGTCGTCTTCATCATCATCACCACCGAGATCTTTTCTAGCGTCAGGAAGGTATGGAGAGTCATCGTCATCATCATCATCTTCACCTTCATCTTCCTCATCACCAGCATTAGCTACAGGGGTGATAGGAAGGTCTTCGTCATGAGATTTAGCATCAGCTTTGACGGTATCATCAACAATCTCTGTTTCAGCTTCATAGGTAGTGATGGCATCATCAACAACCTCAGCTTCATTAGCTTCAACTCTTTGAGCATCAACGTCAGCTTGTGTTGTAGGGAAATCAACAGCAGCCAAGTCTTTCTCCCCCTCTTTGTCATCAGCATAACAAGAGAAGAGGTTATCAAGACTTAGGGCTATTATGTCCATTCGCTGTTCAATGATGGTCAGCGATCTAGCTTGAACAAAACCGACTTTGAGAGCCTAATCCAGTGATAGGCGATCCATTGCTATGAAGAAGGGTGTAGGAGCTGGTACTAGACGTTGAAGAAGTTCCAATATCTGCTACAACAACTCACCATGCTTGGCAAGCTGAGCATTCACTTCATCGAATTTGTTGTTGAGAGCAATGATAGCCTCAGCATTGGTGCATACATCGGCTTGTACCGTAGAAAGTCTTTCCTTCATATCATTGACGTCAGCTTTGACAACTGAGAGGTCAGAGGAAACGTCATCCCTGAAAGGCATGCCTTTTTGGAATTGATCCATTTGAATTAAGACAGTCTCTATGGTCGGGAGAATCAACTTCACGTCATCAGCCATGTTATAATCTTCTTCCATGGCTGGTGTTTCTTCATCGCAAGGACCTGAAAAAGAAGATGGTTAAGCATAAGATAGCTCGGGATTAGAAAAAATGAAAAGGTAGGTTGCAGGATTACCTGAGGGTTCATCAACACCATCTGAAGGATTGATGTTGGTTCTTGATAAGTGTTAATTTATTAACCTTATTACATCATTTTCTTAACCATTTTCCTTTGTTTTATTTGCCCATTAGTGTCTTAATTGAGTCTTTTTATGTCTTTTTCATATATTAGTAGTAATATAGTATATCTAATGTTAATTCCCAATTTTTACAGGTTTTTGATATTTTTGGGCACAGTCCTACGGCAGTCCTACAGGACCAGGAGTGGCAAGGTCCTATAGTACCTGTCCGAGAGCTGAAATTCTGCTTGGGCCGTGAAGAAATAGGCTGATCCATAGAGGAGGTATGGTCAACGACCTTGGGCCCGGTCAAAACCCAGTTTTGAAGAAGCTTTTGTCTTATTAGTTGGCACCCACTATGAGACCTTCCTTAGCCTATATAAACAAGCCTTAAGCGTTGTTTTGAAGAGACTTTTTCATACTTTCTTCCATTTAACACTTGTGATATTAGTGATAATTGCTCTCTAGAATATTGCTTTCGGTTTCAAGTTTCGGTTTTCTTTGTTTGTCTTTTCAAGAACCAACTTTTGTAGTTGTGATTTCATTCTCAAGTTTTAACTTAAATACTCGTATTTAATCTTCATCTCATTTCTGTTCCAAGTTATGTTACGTTTTCTTATCTTTTATAAGTTACGAATTAGTCGATCGTTGTTGCTTTACATCGGATCTCATCCTTTGTGGCTCACGACTAATTTACGTAGACTAAATAATCAGTTTTTACGAGTATGCAAGTAACCTTTCGGTCTTTGTAACGAAACTTGTTTTACAAGTTTCGTTACTTGACTTGCAAGTTTTCTTCAAAAGTCAACTCCAATTTCCAAGATTTTCATATGTCATTTCCTCATCCCATCAAAGTATCAAGTACTTTCTTTCATTATTATTAGATTAATATTAATTAATATTATTTAGTTATTAATACTTTACATTTCAGTATTTATATTTCAGTATTTATATTTCAGTATTTATATTTCAGTATTTATATTTCATTATTTATATTTCAGTATTTATATTTCATTATTTATATTTCAGTCTTTATATTTCAGTCATTTAGATTTCAGTCTTTACATTTCAGTCATTTACATTTCAGTCATTTACATTTCTGTCTTTACTTTACTGCAATTTACATTTATGTCATTTACATTTCTGTCTTTATTTTACTGCAATTTACATTTCTGTCATTTAATTTCCAGTACTTTACTTTCAGTCATTTATATTTCAGTCATTTAATTTCCAGTACTTTAAATTCCAGTGTCTCTATTTCCTGTAATTTACTTTCTGTAATTACTTTTCCGTCTCAGTTATTTATTTTTCAGTCCTTACATCCTTCGAGAGGAGAAACCGAGTGATGATGGGCTAACGCCTTAGCTTGGGGTGTAACGGGAAATTAAGACCAAAGCCGATGTGAAAGTACAAAGGTGTCTTATTACCATTATAGTCTACTATTTATTTCAGGTGCTTAATATTTCATTTGATGATTACATTAAAATTAATTGACAACTAATTTTGTGTATAAAAATGTATTGACTTTCAAAACCTGAGGTAATAGGAGAAGACTATAAATAGCTTTAGTGTCTGATAAACGCTATACTCCTACGGTGTAGGATGGTAACACTGTGTTGTGCTAGGATTCACGACGTCTAACATAAAATGATATCGTATCGATAGCACGTTGACCGGTGTGTGCTCTTGGGAGGTGTCTGACCCGATAGTTGATACTGTCATAGTTATATAAAATCATTTATTGATTTTAGAAAATTGTGACAGGAATGCTATGTCACCTTTTTGCTGAATCATTTGTTTAATGCCTTAATCAACTGTTGCACCCTGTGCTTCTTCTTAAGACTGATATTTTTCTTAGTTGTTAATCAAACCTCCCAATTTTAGATAAATCAAATCCCTCGATTCGCCATCTGAAACTAGTTTTTATAAACTGGACTTTTTGAAATAATTTTACAAGCTATCTTTGTGGGAACGATATCTGGTATGTTACCATTATTACTTGTTACGAGACGATAGTAGTTCGAGGTGTATACGTGCGCCGAGTTCTATTTTTGTGTTGAAATCTAAGGTTGAATAAACTGACAAGCAAGTTTTTGGCGCCATTGCCAGGGATAGTACGCTGAAGTTTTTTCTTTTTAAAAGTAAAGTTTATAAAAGTTAGTTTTTCTACCATCTTTTTGTGAACGCACCATGCATGCCAAGGCTGTCGCACGGTGAATTTTTTCCACTTGATCCGGATATTGAACAAACTTTCAGACACCGAAGAAGAGTGCAAAGAGCTCTTCGAGCTTTAAACTCTGAAACGATGGCTGAAAATGTGATTATTGACGGAGAAGGTATTCTTAGAAATGAACCAAATATTCCATATGAGGATGAGGCTCTAAACATCTTTCGTCTTGCAAATGCTAAAAATGGTGGCATTATGGCATACACTATTCCTAATTTAACTCAACTGCACACAGGAATACGTAAGCCTACCATTGGTGCCACCCATTTTTCACTTAAACCACTGATGTTTCAAATGCTTCAAACAAACGGCCAATACGCTGGTTTATCTTCTTAAGATCCTCATTCTCATCTGCGTTCTTTTATGGAAATCACAGACTCTTTTCTCATCCCTGATGTTTCAGACGATGCTCTGAGACTAAAACTTTTTCCATTTTCACTAAGGGATCGAGCAAGAGCATGGTACAATTCTTTGCAACCAGACTTTGTGACTACATGGAATGAAATGGCAGAAAAGTTTTTGAAAAAGTATTTTCCACCCACGAGGAATGCCAAATCCAGAAATGAAATCTATACTTTTAGACAACTGGATGATGAAGCAGTTCCTGATGCATGGGAAAGGTATAAAGAGCTGCTGAGAAAATGCCCTCACCATGGCATTCCGTACTGTATACAACTAGAGACTTTTTACAACGATTTAAATATCGTTGCTAGACAAATGCTCGATGCTACTGCAGGCGGAGCTTTCACAGCTTGTACCTATAATGAAGGTTTTGACATACTTGAAAAGATTTCCAATAATAACGGACAATGGTCTGACCCACGTGCAATGCCACTGAAGAAAACAGTCGGAATAAATGAGGTAGATGCTGTCTCGGTATTAACAGCTCAGATCACTAAGCTAATTTCAAATTTAACATCTAGCCCACATGTGCAATCTGATGCTAATACCTTTAATTCCAATGTTCAATCAGTACAATGCGTGTATTGTGGTGAAGGTCACGCTTTTGAGCATTGTCTTGGAAATTCGGAGCATGTAAATTATGTCAACAAGACTGGACCATTTTCGCAAACTTATAATCCGGGATGGCGAAATCATCCAAATTTTTCGTGGCATAGTCCAGCTCTTAATCCACCAATGCAAAAGCCTCAAGGACAGTCCAATTTTCAATCGCAAGGACAATCCAATTTTCAACCACAAGGACAATCCAATTTTCAACAAGGCGAATCTAATTTTCACTTGCAAGCGCATCAAGGCAATCATAATAATCAACATGCTAATTTCCAGAATCATCAGTCTTCTTTCCAAAACAAGCCCAAACAGCAAGCTGATTCATCTACATCTTTGGAAGCAATGATGAAGGGTTTTATAACCCAAACTCAAGCTTCAATTAAAAATCTCGAAACTCAAATGGGACAAATGGCTTTGGAGATTAGAAAAAGACCCGTAGGTTCTCTACCCAGTGATACAGAGATACCTCAGAGGGAAGGAAAAGAGCATGTTAAGGTTGTTACTTTAAGGAGTGGAAAGAGCTATTTAGAAAATACCCAAAAAGAACAAAAAGAACCAAACAAAGCAGAGATTGAAAAGAAAAGTGTAGAACAAGATTCTGTTACCTCTGTACCAGATTTTGTGACTACCATTCCTGTGAGTACTAGTGAGCCGCAACCCATAGTCAGGCCCATAGATAGTACGACCATTCCAGAAAGATCAGATTTTCCACTGTTATTT